ACAAGTCTGCTAATTCGACATCCGGATGAAGAGTTTGGCACGGTGCCTTTCAGCTTCGACTCTGATTCAATGCTTCAAAGAATATGCGATGTGCTTGTCTATCAATACTTTGAAGATCACATAATTGACGCCAGGCTCTTTCAATGCCAGAGTCTGACTCCGTGCCCCAATGTGATGATGACATATCGGAATCACAGGAATTTTCTAGAAATGCAGCTTTCAGAGTCATCATCATCAGACAACTGCACTTTGCCAACAGCACTCATACCCAGACACCAAACCAAGGCACACTGTTCATTGTTCAAATCAAAAACCATCGTGGCATTACTCTTGCGCGCGAAGCGCGCCTGTTTCCTTTTCCTTTTCCTGTTCCTTTTCCTCTTCCTTTTCCTTTTCTTTTTGCATTTTCCTCTTCCTTTCTTTCACTTTTTTTGTCCTTTTGTCCTTGTCCTTTCCTCTTCCTTTTCCTTTTCTTCTTTCTCTTCTTTTCCTTTTGCGACACCCCCTTTTTGTCAAAAGGGATGTCTGCACATAGCTCTACCCCGCTTGAGCCCAACAATTCAATTAGGAAATCAATTGCAAACTCAATTGCAAACAGCAATATATTTTTGAATTTTCACTTTTTGAGGTTATTGAAAAAATCAATATATAGTATTTCAAATCAAGATCAATATCAATTCAAAGACTTCCACTATTATTGATTAGAATCAATAGCCGATGCTCCGGGTTTATTTGATTCATACTTTGATCATTACTATTCCTCGGAGCGCGGAGAAAACCTTTTAGAGGCTGATCTTGAGACCAGAGGCACAACTGGGCCACCCAGCAGGGCTGTCTTGGTGTCACGATGGTGCACCGAGGTGTTTTTTAGTTGAATATCAATTTGAAATTAATTTAGATCTTATTTGTGCACTTTTTTGAAACAAAAGTGCACAAAGCTGATGTGCCCTCAAATTTAATCACCAATAAGATTTGAAGTGCACTGAAGTGCACACAAGTGACACAGAAGTGCACTGAAGTGCAAAAAAGTGAAGTCAGTGCACAAAGCTGACATTTGCAAATTCACACAAAGTGCACAAAAGTGAAAAAATCCAACTAGTATTCAACAGTATTCATTCAGTATTCCCCCACCCCAAAAAGATTGTCCACAGTTCTAGTCACTAGATTTTGTTTCCTTTCTCTCACCCAAAAAATTTGCCCACAGTTTTAGTAATTAGACTTTTGTTTCCCCAACTCTCCTCACCAAACAATTTTGTCCACAGTTTTCGTCATTAGACTATTGTGTTTCCTTACTTTCCTTCACACCAGAAAAAGTGGCCATAGTTTTAGTCATTAGATTTTGTTTCTCAACTCTCCTCACCAAATTTTTTGTACACAGCTTTAGTCATTAGAGTTTGTTTCCTCAACTCTCCTCACCAAATTTTCTTGTCCACAGTTTTAGTCATTAAATTTTATTTCCTTAACTTCCCTCACCAAGTTTTATTGCCCACAGCTTTAGTCATTAGAAATTGCTTCCTTAATTTCCCTCACCCCAAAAAGATTGTCCACAGTTCTAGTCATTAGATTTTGTTTCCTTTCTCTCACCAAAAAATTTGCCCACAGTTTTAGTAATTAGATTTTGTTTCCCCAACTCTCCTCACCAAACAATTTTGTCCACAGTTTTAGTCATTAGGTTGTGTTTCCTTACTTTCCTTCACACCAAAGAAGTGGCCACAGTTTTAGTCATTAGATTTTGTTTCCTCAACTCTCCTCACCAAAATTTTTTGTCCACAGGTTTAGTCATTAGATTTTGTTTCCTTACTGTCCTTCACCCAAAAAATATGTGGTTTCTTTTCCTCTTCCTTTTCCTTGTGCCCTTCCTTTTCCTCTTCCTTTTCTTTTTCCTTTTTTTCCTTTTCTCTTCCTCTTGCTTTTCCGCTTTCTTGTCCTTTTCCTTTTCCGTTTTTTTAAATACTTTTCCTCTTCCTTTTCCCTTTCCTTTGCCTCTTTCTCTTCCTTTTCCTTTTCCTTGTCCTGTTCCTCTTCCTTCTTCTTTCCCTCTTCCTTTTCCTCTTCCTTCCCCTTTCCAGGGAAATTAAGGAAGCAACTTCTAATGACTAAAGCTGTGGACAATCAAACTTGGTCAGGGAAGTTCAGAGAAAAGTCAATAACTAAAACTGTGGACAAAAAATTGGGTGAAAAACGGAAACCAAATTTAATGCTTAAATAAAACTGTTGACAAACATTTTTGGTGAGGAGAGTTGAGGAAACAACATCTAATGATGAAAATTGTGGACAATTTTTTGGTGAGGAGAGTTGAGGAAACACAGTCTAATGACTAAAACTGTGACAAAAATTTTTTAATTCAGGAAATTAAGGTTTTACAAAAATGCAATCCCATCAGATTTGATCAAATTTGATCAGGTTACAAAATTTTGTAAAAACACAGAAAACCAGTAGAATAGATAATCAACAAACCAAAGCAAACCATTTTTTGTTTCCTGTTCCTCTTTCTCGCCCTTTTCCTTTTATATTTTTATTGTTTACCGTTCCTTTTCCTCTTCCTCTTCCTGTTCCTCTTCCTTTTCCTAACAAACACTCATAACAAAATGAGGATGACAATGAAACGCTGACTTTCAAACGCAATAAATTAAAGCATTTCTTGTCAGCTTTTTAATGAACATCACGTTCAGAAAAAAAAGTGACAAATACACTTTTTGCATTTTCTAATCATTTTAAATCACTTTCTTGCACCTTTAAAGCAAAAAAAGTGCACAAATAAGATTTTATAAGCTTCAAATAAGAATAAAGATGATTCAAATGTGATTCAATGTGATTTTAGTTCTCCTGTAAACAAGGGTGACCTGGAGAAGGGTACCTATCTCGACCCTCAACCTTGATATCTTTGATTTGGGGAAAATATCAGCTGTCACATGGAGGTGGCTTGCTGAGTGTGCTAGTTTGGATGGCTGCGCGCACCCTAGAAATGAGGATGTGGAAGGTGAGTTGGAAGCCGCATAGGAGCCCCCTTGAAGGGGGATGCCTTGGCTGCCGCGAGGAGAACTTGTTCACGATGTGGTTCTTGGTGAAGCCATCTGGATTTGAGCGCCGTGACAAGGGGTCAACAACATGAAGATCTCGAAAGAGCCTGAGGACTTCAACTTCCATTTCCTCATAGAACTTCTTCCCCTTCGCCTGCAACGCAGTCTCCAAAAGCTTGTGCCTAACGGCGTCCAGGCCAGGCTTCTGCTCAAAAGCCATACCAACCCAAAGGATGGCAGTGTCACTCCCTCGCTTTTCAAGTCCACAACAGCCGAACCGAATCTCGTGCAAACTCTCAGATCCGCTTTCCCCTCAATCCCGACATTGGTTTCTCAAGAGTGATCGCAACTTCTCCCCCATCTAAGGATCCAAGGCAGTCGCCGCCTTCTGGAACTCAGGTACTCGAGCCCCTCAGGCGTGAACTCTTCTCTCCGCTCTGCTGAAGAAGCCAATGGGCTACCAAGTTGCAGTGTTTAGCGCCCTCCAATCCAAGGCGTTCACCCATGAATCTCCGTCAAGAAGGAGCGCCATCCTTTGGGATCGCGGGCACCCGCGATGCGCCGCTTCCTCCATTCTTGTCCTCGTCGGTCATCGCGAGGTGGTCCGGCCTGTGACACACAGCAAAGCCAAAAGGTCAAAACCTTTAGCCTTAGGCTTTAGGATCACAGCCTGGATCCGGCAGTTGAAGAAGGCAGCAAACAAAGCGAGGCCTTTTCCGGACCTGAAAGCGAAAGCCTACATCGGTTCAAGACCTGATGGGCCCAACGGCAGCGGGACAAACCGGTGCGCGTTTCAACCATGTTGTATACATGTTGGACCCTGTTGGGCCAGTGTTTTGTGGGCCCTGGGCAATTGGCCAGTGGGGACTGTGCGAGTAAAAACCCGTCTCACACCCTCATCACTTTCCGATGTTTGCCAAGCTGGATTACAGAAACATGCAATCTTGCCAGGACCAGCCTGCACTGTGTCGGCAAGAGCGGGATTAAAAAGAGGCTTGGCGGCGGCCTAGCAGCCAGTTGTTCACGAGTTCCAAACATGCATGATAATTGCTATACAGTTGGATAATCATGACTTTGTTGATGAACAGCCTTGGCTTGGACTGACTCGTTGGCTTGCCTGACTGCATGGACCATGCCAATGCACAGCTTGCAGCTGGCGCCCAATCTTTACCAAACTGACAAACATCGACAAGCAACTCCCTTCTCTGCGCGAACATCACCGAGACTGTGTCGGCAAGCTCCCGACTCCTTGCAGCAACAGCAAGAAATGTAATCGTGGAATGACATGGAATGGGTTGCAGGCAGGCCGATTGGATCGTCGTTGAACTTTCAAAATGCCAGTCCTCTTGGCGCGGGTCTGAATAATGTATGTGGGATCCTGAGATACATTCTATCACATGGCAAGTCGAATCAAGTCGACAGGGTCGTCAAACCCATCTCACGTTGTCTAGGCTCCATATTCTCACTTGCGGGCCCTTCGGAGATGATTCGCCATTGGTCCTGGTTGCAATGCAGCAAGAAAATTGGCTTTCAGGGTGATGGGATAGCAGTAAAATGTCAACGAGGAGGTCTTGCAAGCTGCCCAGCTGCTTAGTTGGCCCCACGTGACATCCCAAGAACAAGGACAAATATGAACAAATCCGCTTCATTCGAGGCATGACCTCCACCGCCTTCGTGACTCAACAACTCAAAGTTTCAACGCTTGGCCAGCTTGACCCTATTGCCTGATCCCATTGCAACAAACATATTGTTCTAAACGGCGCATACTGCTATACATATCTGCAAACTGTCTGGGGACCACGCAGCTGGGCCGAACATGTCCAACTGCTTGGCCCCATCCTTCAAGCTCTCAATGAGCTGAAGGTTTTCAAACTATAACTCATGGAACCCGACCCCCCGCGCAAAACATTTACTGTCACTGTACAAAAGGAACCAAACCAAAAACTCAAACTTGAACAACCACCTGCCTTCCGGCTCAGGATTAGCACAATCTTGAGTGTTTTACATTTTGGTCCGGGATGTTCCACAATAACAATCAGATTCATTTTGCATCGATGAAAACCGTACATCTTAGCGTGTGCATTCTGGAGCTGGATCTATCAGAATCTATCAGGGATCGGTCCGGCTGCCAGAAATGCCTTTCTGGCACTTCTCTTCAAAAATGTTCCACCTGTGAGTGAACCTCCTCGTCCTAGTGTGAGCATGTTCGACTTCAATACCATTCACTGTAAAGGCACCGAGGTATTGGCCAACTTTTCTTTAGATTTAGTTCATGTTTTGTTTCGTGCTTTGTGCTATATTTGGATTGGTTCAGGTCCTCAATCCCAGTTCTTTCCTTCCGAGGTCTCGGAAAGTTTTCCGACAGCTGGTCGAAGAACTGAACTAACTTACCTTGGAAGCTCATTCTGAACATTCTAAACTAACCACAGCATATTTAGACAGCCGAAGACAACTGTTTGATCTCGCAGGAAGAAAAACTTTAGCACGAACCGCCAATGTGATTGGGGGCAGACAGGGGATCTCATTCTGCACCATATGGCGGCGTCCGAATCGGACACCACGAATCGGTCACCAGAACGCCGATTCACACCAGGAATCGGTCACCGACAAATAGGAATCGGTCACCAACAAAGTCGAATCGGTCACTGGTCGCCAGGAATCGATCGCTGATTCGGAGTTCCCTCACCAACCCGAAGCGGTCGCCGCAAGCAAGCCCGAACCAAACCAACCCGAATCGGTCACCAAGTGGACGCTGATTCGGAGTTCTCTCCCCAACAGGAATCGGTCGCCAGGACTCGGTGCAGATTTCGTGGCAGGCGTTAAATTTGTAGATCTTGGAGCGCAGATTTCGTGGCAGGCACAGCACTTTGTGAACCTCGAAGTGCAGATGTCGCGGCAGGCGGAAGCAAGAAACTCGCAGGCCAAAACCCGAACCAAACCAACCCGAATCGGTCGCTGATTCGGAGTTCTCTCCCCGTTAACAGGAATCGGTCTCCAGGACTCGGTGCAGATTTCGTGGCAGGCGTAGTAATTTGTGGATCTTGGCTGAGTGCAGGTTTCGTGGCAGGCAGAGCACTTTGTGAGCCTCGAAGTGCAGATGTCGCGGCAGGCGGAAGCACGAAACCCGGCGGCAAAAAACCGAACCAAACCAACCCGAATCGCGGGCGCCAACTGGTCGCTGATTCGGAGCTCTCTCACCAACCCGAAGCGGTCACCGCGGCAGGCGGAAGCAAAAAACCCGCTGGAGAAAAAACCGAACCAAACCAACCCGAATCGGTCACGAGCTGGTCGCTGATTCCAAGTTCGCTCACCAACCCGAAGCGGTCACCGTGGGAGGCGGCAAAAAATCCGCTAGAACCAAACCGAAGAGTGGAAACAAGCAGGCGGGTAGCCCAAAATGGGTGCCCATTATTTGGTGAAAGAATAGTTCCTATTCTTTCATAACACGGAGGATCCTTTTCCAGGACATGGTTGGAGTAAAAAGGGTCACAACGTTCGTTGGGACAATTCTGCTCAAATCAAAGGCCGTAGCGACCTGAATCGGTCACCAACTGGTTGCTGATTCGGAGGCCTCCCCACCAACCCGAAACGGTCACCGTAGCAGGCGGAAGCAAGAAATCCCGCCGGAGAAAAACCGAACGAAACCAACCCGAATCAATCGGTCACCAGTCTGGTAGCTGATTCGGAGTTCTCCCCACCAACCCGAATTGGTCACCGCGGGCGGCGGAAGCCGGCGGAAGCAAGAAACCCGCTGGAGAGCCCTAAACAAAGCCCAAGCAAACCTTGGAGCAAGGAAGCCCTGACCCAAACCTGAAGAAACCCTAAAGAAGTTCACCCTAAACCAACCACAAACAAACCTTATGAAGAAGTGAACCCTAAACCAAGAACAAACCCCAAAGAAGCCAAGCCCTAAGCGAAGCCCAAACAAACCCGCCTAAAGAAGCCAAGCCCTAAACAAAGCCAAAGCAATGCCCCCTGAAGCCAACCCCAAGCAACCAAGCCCTGAACCAAACCCAATCAAACTCGCGTAAAGAAGCCAAGCCCTATCTGCGCCAGCACAGTTGTTTTTCACCAGGGATTGAAGCTTTTGAAATCCATATTTTTTTTGGCTTAGGTGTTCTCAAACCTTACCACCACTTTCGTGTATTTTTGTTTTTCCTTTGGAATGTAATTGCACCCTTTGGCATAATTGAAGCTTGGGGCGAACCCCTTCGTGTACTTTTGGTTTGTCCTTTGGAAGGGAGTTTTTAAAATTTGGAAGGATTGAAGCTGCGGCGAAACAAAGCCGTAAACCAAGCCCAACAAAAGCCTAAAGAAGCCAAGCCCTAAACAAAGCCCAAATGAGCACTAAATAAGCGAAACCCTAAACCAAACCTGACGAAAACCTAAAGAAGTAGAACAACCCCTAAAGGAGTGAAGCCTGAAACCAAGCCTATAAACAACCCGCAAAGAAGTCAAGCCCTAAACCAACCTTAAACAAGCCAAAACAAGCCTACAGAAGCCAAGGCCAAACAACCCTCAAGAAGCCAAGCTCCCAAGCCAAACCCAATCAAACCCGAAGGAAGCCAAGCCCCAAACCAACCCCAAGGAAACCCTCCTAAAGAAGGCAGGCCCTAGAAACAACCCAAGACAAACCCTAAAGGAGTTAAGCCGTAGACAAAGCCCAAGCAAACCCTAAAGAAACGAAGCCCTAAACCAAACCCGAAGATACCCTAAAGAAGCCAAGCGCGAAACAAGCCCAAACAGACCCTAAAGAAACAAACCTGAAACCAAATACAAACAAACCCTAAAGAAGCCAGGCCCGAAACACCGCCCAAACAAACCCGCCTAAAGAAGCCAAGCCCTAAACACCGCCCAAAGGAACCCAAGCCCTAAACAAAGCCCAAGCAATCCCTAAAGAAGTGAAGGCCCTAAACCCGATTTTGCGAGCCTGCGCAGCCGAATCGCACTTCGAAGATCTCGAGAGGCAGGCGTGAATGGCAGCGAATTAGCCGGACCCGCCGATGGAACACCTCGATCAAGCAGATTTCGTGGCAGGCGCAGCACTTTGTGAGCCTCGCAGTGCACATTTCGCGGCAGGCACAGCACTTTGTGAACCTCCACGTGCAGATTTCGTGGCAGGCGCAGCACTTTGTGAACCTCGAAAGTGCAGATTTCGTGGCAGGCACAGCCCTTTATGAACCTTTGTGAACCTCCACGTGCAGATTTCCTTTCAGGCGCAGCACTTGGTGAACCTCGAAGGGCAGATTTCGTGACAGGCGAAGCGCTTTATGAACCTTGCGGTGCACATTTCGTGGCAGGCGCAGCACTCTGTGACCCTCGATGTGCAGATTTTGTGGCAGGCGCAGCACTTGGTGAACCTCCACGCGCAGAGTTCGTGGCAGGCACAGCACTTGGAGAATCTCGATGCGCAAAGTTCGTGGCAGGCGCAGCAGTTTGTGAACCTTGAAGTGCACATTTCGTGGCAGCCATTGTGAACCTCCACGTGCAGATTTCGTCGCAGGCGCAGCACTTTGTGAACCTCAAAGTGCAGATTTCCTAGCAGGCGCAGCACTTTGTGAACCTCGCAATGCACATTTCGCGGCAGGCACAGCACTTTGTGAACCTCCACGCGCAGATTTCGTGGCAGGCGCAGCACTTTGTGAACCTCCACGCGCAGATTTCGTGGCAGGAGCAGCACTTGGTGAACCTCGAAGGGCAGATTTTGTGACAGGCGCAAGCACTTTGCGAAATCTGGTGACTGATTCGTGGTCCCTGATTCGGACCGCTGGTGGCTGATTCGGATCGCTGGCTCTGATTCCGTGGTCGCTGATTCGTGGTGACCGATTCGGACCGCTGGTCGCTGATTCGGAGTTTTCTCCATATGGTGCAATGGAGACCGGGCCCCTCTTTTCGTGAGTGTAGGAGCGAGAGCCTTGACACAAAATTGGATTGACTCTATGAACGCAGCAATGTAACACAGTTGCTTTTGGCAGGCTGTCCCATTTCTTTTGTAGCGCAGGAGTTGCGCCATCTACCTAGACTGGAATCTCCATGGGCATGAAAACCTCTGATTCACTGAGGCGTGGAAAAGGAGAATGCTTCATCCACAGGAATGACGGGTCAACTCATTTCATGAATAGCTTTATATACTGTCCAATTCTATCACGGAGCGCTCCGCGATGCTTTTGACATCAGACGTGAGGTATCAGTTACATGGACGGCGCGGACTTCTTCTCCAAACGCTTTCAGTGGAAACTTTGGAAAGCAAGAAGGTGCGCTCCACAATCTTTGAACACTCTCGACTCTCTATCATTTTTTGTAGTTTTCTTTTGTTGAAACTCAATGTATCAACATCTGAAGGTTGCAGCCTTATGAATGGTTCACATACTGTAGAATCCCCAAAACCATCATCCATCATCAGTTCATCGCCTTTTTTAGAGGTCTCCCATACCTTCAATCTCAAACATTGTTGACCTTGAGGAGACGGGGATTATTAATCCTACATGTGCATTACTGTCTTTTGTTTGGGAGAGCTCTTGTTCTGGCAGTCACTCTGACGTGTCCACCCTGTGAGGCGTAGTGCTTCTGAGAGAGAAATTACCGGAGGAATGTAACGTTGCGTTACCGTTGGTCCGACCAGGCGGATGGTCGGCTGAGGAGCGTGGAGCTTCCCAAAGAACTTGTCAAGCGTAATCAATTCTCTGCTCTAGTACTTTTGATAACGTTAAATTACCCTGCTCCAGGATCAAACACACTCCTTCTTCAAATCGACCAAGCGGTTTGTGAAGCGCTTGGCTTTTCCAAGAACCTGTGGTTCCGGACACCTTATTACATGCTTCTTGTCATGCTCAGCACTACTGTACACTGTACTGTATCTGTTTGAGATCTGGCACATGGCCAAGCCTGCATAGTAGATGGCACAACTCATGCTATAGTTCTCGCTGTTGAAAGATTCACGTTCACAAAAACCAATCGCAGTTTTTGAATTCTCAATTTTGTGGATTACTATGTACTGGGGGGTTGACCCCGTAAATGAATTAATTTCTTGCGCAATGTGGCTCAAGGTTGGACATCGGCGGCGCAGGGCAACCGCGCAAAGATGCGCAAAGCTTTCAACATGCGCCCCTGCAACTTGGCATGAGATGCTGGAAGTGAGCTCTTGCAAACGGATGCACAAGAGTACTTCATATCCGAACAATAAAGAATTTAACCAGGTATGACATATGGTTTTGCAGTCAAAAGTCTACAAATGAAGGAGGACATCTGGCAAGGCCCCAGGCTCTTTGGAGGGGATCTACTCTTTGGAAAAAGGGAGCCCTCTACAAAGGGTGAGTGACGCGCCAAAAGCACACCAATCAACAGCCATGCGTGGAAAAACCCAGCGCTGCTGACTGGGCCACGCGAGAGGCAAAAGTCCAAAACCCGCCGACACCAACACTCCCGGGAAGGGGGAAGTGGGAGTTGGCAGGGTAAGAACTACTTTGGGCGAGGAACCCTAGTAGAAGGGAAAGCAGAATTCCTTAAAGGGAATGTCTACACAAAGGATTCAAAAGGGGAGAAAGAAAGAACTCGTAACTGGGAGAGTCGGCAAGCTCTGCTCTCCAGCGGAGAACTGCTTGCGCCCTGTGGCTACGGATGACAACGGACAGTTCTTGCAGGAGGTCTGCATGGAGGGCAGCAGCATCCTCCCCAGTTCGAGCTGGGAAAGTTGCAGGAGCAGTTTGCTGGCTTCGGGCTCCGT